CCACACGCGGCCGGGGAGGGGGCGGCGCCGCCGCGGAGAAGCTGCGCTCTTCCCTCGGGAAACCGGGGCGCCACCAAGCCGGGGCACTGGCCCACCGGCCAGCACAGCGCGCCCCTCACGAGCGGGGAGGCTCCCGCCGCGCTCGCCGGGGCTCTCCTCAGCCCAAGGGGGACTGGCGGGGGCATCGCTTAGACTCCCGTTGCCGACACATGCCCGCCCTTTGCCCTCACCTCTGTGCGGCTTTCGGCCCCCACCCGCGCACGAGGCGCCCTCAGAGCCGCCTCCCGCCGTAGCCCGGGGACAACGAATGCCCACCAAAGCCCTCAAAAGCCTGGACATCCACAACCAAGGGTCCCAACCTGAATCCAGCCCCCTGGGTGGCTGTGAGGACGCAGCCTGGCAGCGTACCCCAACATAGGAAGCCCTGCAGCTCCCCCACTTAACTTTACTGTTGAAAGCACATGGCCAAATTGCTGCCCCCAGCCTTGTACACATACCCCAGCGCGGAGCAGGGAAGAAAAGCTTTGGGAGGTTTCCTCCCTTTCACCCTGTGGGACTGTGCTGGCACTGCGCTCGCTGCCCTCCTGCCGCTGAGGGCCGTGTCATAGAACCAGGGAACCGGGAGGGACCTGTAAGATCATTAAAACTGGTCCCCTGCCCCGGGCAGGAAGTTATTGGGCTCAGATGAGCTCAGCAAGGTGCCTGTCCAGCCTCAACTTGAACACCAGCAAGGAGGGTGACTGCACCACCTCTTCCGGGAGTGTGTTCCAGATTCTGGTGACGCTTACAGACAAGAAGTTCTTTCTGATATCTAGCCTGAATTTACCCTCTGTTAGCTTATGTCCATTGGTCCTCATCCTCCCTTGGGGTGTCTTCCCAAAGAGTTGCTCCCCTAGATCCTGGTGCTCATCTCTGACGTACGATCAAGTCACCTCTCAGCCTTCTCTTACTCAGGCTGAACAGCCCAGTTCCTGGAGTCTCTCCTTGTAGGCCCTTTCCTCCAGGCCTCTGATCATATGGGTGGCCCTTCTTTGTACCCTTTCAAACTTATCCAGGTCCCTCACCAGGACTAGCCCACAGGCAATGTGTTTGATACACTTACCTTAAAGGATTCTTTTTCAGGGCTCAAAAGGAGGCAGGATGCAGGTCTATGCCATGGAGACAACCAAGCATCTCTCTTTTCCCAGCAGCAACAGGACCCTGCACAACACACGTCTCTAATAGACAATTATCACCAGAGATCTCTGTTAACCTCCCTACAGCCTTCATACTAATTGATAAGTAACACCCCTCAGAACATCTACAGACCAAAGTGGACACAGTCTCATTACTGAGCACCATCATCAGATTGCCATTTACCATGCCTGACTTTCCACAGAAAAACCACAAACAGGTGTTCATTCTGACTACCATGATTGTAAAAAAAAAATCTGAATTCCCACTGTACAGCCCGTCAGCTCAGAGAAAGCAACTTACTAAGGCTTCTACAACATTTAAGCGAAAAAAAATACTTCCCTTCATGCAAAAAAAAAGTATTATACCAACATATAACAAGATATATACTCCAAACATAAAATGAAATATTCAAAGGATCTAATTCTGCCACTCTTACTTGCTTATCCTCAAGTAGTTCCAGTGATTTCAGTAATCCTACTCACAGATATTGTTTGATGTGAACAAGAATGAGAAGGCTATACAATCCTTAACCAAAATCTGTACTTCCTTCATCTATTTGTTTTGCTACTTTTTTTTCTTCTACCCAAGCTTCTCTCCTATGGTGTTTCCTTCATCTGCTTAGCTTAAAATGAGCTTGGCAAGACACGATTTCAGATGTGGACAAAATAAGGACTCAGTTGCTAGTGAAGAACGCAACCAGTGCCGTAGCAAGGTGGGGGGTGAGCAGGATGACCTCCCTGGGCACCAAAGTGAAGGGGCACCAACAGGCACTGCCCAGTGGGGGCAGGGTGAGGGATGGAACCGCAAGCAGCTCGTTTGGGGGGATGCGGAGACGGGGGGAGGGCAGCTCCCACCGCTGTGTGCACTCCTGGGCAAGCATGGCAGGGCATGTGCACCCGGATCTGTGTACAGAGTGAGGGTGGGATTTGCCCCGGATGCCAAACTTTTTTGCCACTGCACTGGATGCAACTAAGTCGAAATCTCAGTGCTTCTGAAAATCAAGCCACTTATTTAAATACTTAGATGAAGATGTAATAACCCAGCATTAGCGAGACATTTTTTAAGACCTTTATCTTCACTTCTTTGCCAGCCTTTCCTGCCTTGCATCTCTTAGCAGCTTGTCAGTGCACCAGTGTTCCAAACAGTTCTCATTAAATTCTCTTTCTTTGTGAGGGTGAGGAGCTCAGGGCACTAGATAAGACAAGGCTTATATCAAAAGTAACCTCTTAGTGAGAGAGCATGTACTATTGATTGATATATAAGACTCATGGTTCATATATTGTTTGTAAAGGGCTATGAGGAAAGTAATCATGTGCATATCAGATGTTTATGAAACAGTGCGCATCTACATGAGACACTTAATGAGCAGAAGACATTTTAACGCGCATTAGCATGGCTGGCAAAAACTGTGCCAATGCACAGTAGACTTAGTCTAATGAGCATTAACATCACAAAAATAGTGTTCAGCTGTGCTAATGTGCCATAGTGTGCATTAATATAGTACCTGTCATTACAGGTACTAAACTTAATGCACTGTAATTATGGCATGTTAATGAACATGTAGATGCACCCACAAAGTACTATATAAATACAGAATATCAACATGCAGAATATCGTTGTACAGAATATCAATCCCACCAGTGTGCGATTGTGTTGTGAAGACTCCACAGACTTTAGAGTAGGTTCAAGAGCTGGATTTCAGATCCAGCCTCCTTTTTAGTCTATCTGCAACTCTATACATATTTAACAACCTCTGCCACATTTCCTTTTTCTGAA